ACTGAACGATACTTAACTTCAAGGTAGCTGAAACTTCTTGGAGTATATTCGTATCAAACGGAATAGAGATTTTTAACATGAGAAGCAAATTCGGATCTCCTCTACCCTTAACGTTTATCATCAATGAAGATATTAGGAAAATATTTTTTTTCCTCAAAAATTAAATAGCAACTACAGATAGATAAATATATGTTTGTAAGCATGGGTAGGTGTCTCTCTGTGTGTAAATTTCGTCAATTTTATAAATACGCAAATATAACTGTCCTCAAAAGAATTATCACGAGTACCTACATACAATGATAACAACTCGTGAAAATCGTAACTGGTGAAATGGAACCTTTATTTTTATTGATAAAAACAAAAGAATTGTAAAGATTTAGCTTAGTTACAAGTCTGGTCAATCGCTGAAATTGGTTAAAAGCCTATATCACCTAAGTCTAACCATTAACCGGTTACTTTCTTTATTACTTAATACTAATTAGTTTATATCTTATGATTCAGCTGATAATCTAATTCCACCTTCAGGAAACTCCTGAGAAGGACTGTCTATGGTGGGAGAAGACACGATTCGATTTTGTGTCTACTCGTTAGAAAGGCTGGTGTGTCATCCACTTCGGAATTTCTACCATTATGATATATATATATATAGTGCCTAGACCACTACTATGTCTGTCGTATCGCAACATTGGCAGATGTAGTGTGATTGGTATATTATAATATATTCATAGTCTCCATTGTTTTCCCTCACGGGTTCTCAAAATTAGTTCTTGACTTAACCGTCTGTTGGTTTCATAACATTTTGCTGCTTTCTACGACAGGTGTTATATGAATATATATATATATATGAATATATATGTTATATGAATGTAGAACAAAACATAAATATCAATATTAATTATTTCAAAATAATGGAATCATGAAAAAGAACCAGAAGAAGAGGAAAAAAGTAATTCCGAAAAAAAAACAATATTCCAAAATCACCTTTCTATATTAATAACAATATCGAGTGACAAATAGCACTAACTATTTAGTGACTCAGTTTATGAAGCTTATGACAGGGTATTTATTCACGCTTAGGTCACAAAAGCACATCTCATGCGATCATAAATTTACATAATCTTTTGCTACATTAATAATATCTGTTCGTTACTGCTTCGAAAACTAGTGCCAGTTTCATAATACATATATATTTACTCAAAATAAACATGATCAACTAGAAGCTGAGTTGGCGTTTTAATGTAACTAAGAATTCATAAATAAACTAAACGGAATAATAAATGAACGATAAACA